TTAAAGATCTCCCTGTGCTTAATTAATTAAGCACTATGCCATGAAAGTGTATGGGGAGTGGATGTATAGATACAGAATATAATATATTTTTCCTTGCTTTGAAATAATGTAAAAAATATTGCTTTCCACACTAGTATTGGAACAGAATAGGTTTTCATATAATTAATTTCTGAGAAACAAAGATGAATTGTAACATTAATAGATTATCTCTACAATGTCTTACATGAAAACTAAAAGTGATAAAGAAATACTATTACTACAAGGAATATGAAATGATATTAGAGTTCATCATTATTTTACTGAAGTATGCAACACTAATATCTGAACATTATTTGTATTTTTATATAAACAACAATAACACATATTCTTAATATATTATGGACTCACAGCCCTTACTTTCTTATACTTCTCATTAAATAAATACATTTTTAGTACCACATACATTTTAAATGTTTATTTACACTCAGATGCAGAAGAGAATCACAGAGTATTGCCTGAAGACCAAACACAACTTATTAATTTTTAATAAACAAAGGAAATTTTGGGATTGTAAACTGGCAAACCATGGGACTATTCCTTTAATACAGAAGGGAGGGACAAGAGTGGCAGAATGCCATCAGACAATCACTGGAGGACACAAAATAACAGGATCACATCACTGGCCTCAGACCCCAACATAAGAAGTTGTGGCATGTGGATGCATAAAGTGTTTACCTTAATTGTAAAGTTGTTCTAATTACGCACAACCAAAGAACTAGCCTATATCATGAAAATATATTGGTTTATAAATTTAAATAGAAGTGTGCACATAACAGTTTTTAAGTTACAGATTTTTCTCACATGTATATGAGATAACATATCCAGCATTTCAGATTGTGCTACAACCTATAAACAACAAGCTACAACAAACCTACGTAGAACCATACTACTTACATGTTCTAATTCACAAACATGGTTTCATATTAATTAATTATTACATTATGTTTGCGACAATGTCCATTGTATTTGGTTGGAGTGTTTCAGAGAGAACAGAGTTGGTGGTTGAGCTGTGGGAAGATTTAATTGTAAATCATGTATAGCAAGCGGAAAGAGATTGATTTTCCCATCTGTGAGGAAGCTACTAAGTATGAAATAGTGGCGAAAATAGGAGAAGGTAGTTATGGTGCGATTGAGAGTTCAGGTGGTGGTCCAGATAATATATAAAAAAAACTGCAGTATTAACTGAAGAAGAATGTCAGAGCTGTGCAAGGCTGAAATTAGAATTGAATAGTATTACATATGAACTCAAATCTGCTATTGAAATCATTGGTATTCTAAAAGAAGAACATGGTATTACCGATATGGACGATAAGAAGGATGATAAGAAAAACTCAACCATAGAACACAACAAACATTGTGGACTCAACATACTTCAAGGAGAAAGAAATAGAACTCTGGAGCAAATCAACATAAGGAGAAGTTGGATAAGATAAGGGACTGCAGTGAAATATCCTTACGAATTAACAAGTGGTTTGATGCTCTGACTAAACTCAACGAAATGGTGAAATCAACTGTTTTAGTAAATGAAAAGACTTCTAATTCTAGTGAAATATATAATAAGAATGACAAAGATTTACTCTCAATAGTAAGAAAAAAAGCCAGTGGCGAAATATATACCAGTGATAGTGAATGGTGAAATAGTAAATAACATCTGTGATAACTTTGTGCAATATCCAGGCTTTGTTCATAATATCTAAACATAATAAATAATTTCAAGTATAATATATTAAAGAATGAAATGAACGAAGTTAATAATCACAATATAATGATAGTGGGTGACAACCATTCCAAGGGAAGTGCAATAAGGGTTGGAGAATATTTAGGAAAGAAATTTGAAGTGTATGATATGGTTAAGCTGGGTGCAAGTGTTGTTGATATGGTAACACAATCTAGCACAAAATATAAACATATAACAAAAAACGATGTAATTGTGTTTCAGGGAGTAGCCAATGATGTATATTGCAACAAAGCTAAGGCTGCATTATTACAGATTATGAAATGTTGAGGTTGCTAATAATACAAACATAATAGTGTTAGACATTCCATATAGATACGACCTAGAAAAGAATTCCATCGTGAATAAGGAAATTCAAACTTTTAATCAAAAATTAAGGAAGGTTACAAAACATTACAATCATGTGACAATAATAGAGCTTAGTTTAAATAGAGAGGCATTCACACAACATGGTCTACATCTAAATAGGTTAGGAAAGAGACTAACTGCTAAACAAATAGCAATGGAAATCTACGGACTGAGAGAAAAGTAGATAGTTCAGTTAGTTTGGAAGAGAAATCAGTGACAAAGGTGAACTTAGAGACAATAATTCCTGTATCTTCAGGTTTCGATAATTTGGTAGAGCAACAAAATCATTCTACTAATAGCAAAGAAATATATCCTGTGCATGAGGATATACAGGTTCTGAGATACTCCACAAGATCAAAAAAGTTGCCTGTGACTAGGAATGGTGTTTTTATGGGAGATTTAAGTCTGAATTCAGTTAACAAAAATTGTGATAGTAATCATTCTAGTCAATTAAATAATACTCATGGTATTCTAAGAGAAGTTCATTATACTAATAAAATCATACTCTATAAACAGTAAATTAGTCAGTAATAAAAATGATGACTCACAAAACATATTTAGGATTGTTCATCAAAATATTAGGGGTATGAATGGTAAAGTTGACGAGCTCATTGTTCCTTTATATAATCAGCTTCCAAATATAATTTGTTTGACCGAGCATCATTTGATCGATCATGAAAGTAATGCTGTACATATTTCAAATTATAAATTGGGTGCTAAATTTTGCAGAAAAATTTTGAAAAATGGTGGTGTATGTATATATATACAAGAAAACCTAAAATTTTCTACCATAAATTTACAAAAATACTGCAAGGAACAAGATTTGGAAATTGTGGCTATTCAAATAAAAATAAATAAGGATAAGATAATTATATTCAGCATATATAGATCTCCATCGGGTAATTTTGATTATTTTCTTAATAAACTAGACATTATACTTAATGCCTTCTACAGACATAATTTGGAATTTATAATATGTGGTGATATTAATATTAATTATATGGAAACTAGTAGCAAAAGAACAGAATTAGATGACATGTTAAACACTTATAACCTAATAGGTACTGTATGCTTTCCTACAAGAATTGTTAATAACTCTGCTACCTTAATTGACAATATATTTATTGATAATAGAAGAAGTTATACCACAAAATCATGTATAAATGGATTGTTGGATCACGATGCCCAGCTAATAATACTTAATAATGTTCCTGTACTAAACATGACACCTGAGACCACGTATACTAGAAATATTAATAACACTATAGCGGAATTTCAATATCTGTTAAGCTTGGAACTTTGGGATGATATATTCAGTAATAATAATGTTAATGTTATGTTTAATAATTTTCNAAAATATCAACGACTGTTTCGATGTTATATAACATCAATTTTATCTTGTTTTATACAATAACTTTTAGTTTTTATATAATCTGACTTATTGTATTTTCACGCACAATATTTTAAATGATTAATAACATTGTGTCCAATTAATGTACTGCAGTTCAATGGTATATGTTTGTTAATATGTGTTTCCCAGATGATGGCCGTTAGTGGCTGAAACATGTAGCGAAACCATAGCTGGGCGATGTCCTTGATTTTTTCTGTTTGTTGTGTTGTGACCGGCAATAAAAAGGTTTAATTTACATGTACCTAGTGTGAATACTTCAAAATTTATTAAAGGAGCCTATATAACAGGTATTAAAGTGTTCAATCATCTTCCATGATCAATAAAGATTTTGGTCAATGATGAGAAAAGCTTTAAATTTACATTAAAAAGGTTTTTATGTCATCATTCTTTTTACCCTATAAATGAATACTTTCAATATAAAGAAGACAAAGGTTTGTAATCCAGATATTCTCTTGAATTGTTTGTTAGGTTGATTTTACATATGATGTATTACCCACTGACTAGTCGCTCGGCATTTATGGGTATACATTTTATGGTAGTATGGTACTGTAACAGACCATCTGTTTTAAATAACATGTGACTGTATACAATTAAGATGGTCATGAATGGTTTACTCACAGCTCATTTCCTTTTATCCTGTAGAGGAATATGTTAATAAATAGTTTTCAAACTTTAATGTTCTTGCTATGAAATGACTGATTGTATATACTGAATTTTTATTGTACATTCTAATTTTTTAAGCCTGATGAAATGTACTGTATTTGGACTGCTAAATTAGGTATTTGTAGTTATGTGATCGAAATAATTGCATCAAACTTCTATATAATGAATAGGTCGTTTGTATTGATTTATGATAGTGACAACTATAATCATATATCTGCATAAATTTGATCATATCTGAATATTTTATGTACAAATTTTGTATTGTGACTGTATTGCATGTTGATGGGTTCATTGTTTTTGTGTGTTTTTTTTTTACATATTCTATATCCTATGGCATGACCTGAAAAGGATCTATGGAATTTAAAAAAAACAAACATAAATCAACATACATAACATTAGTCCCAAACACTCCACATTGTTCATCACATAATTTCACTTATTTCTTTCAAAGTACTTACAGATTTAGTTCTATGTTTAAACACTGTTCATTCAAATTCATGGTTGTGCCACTTGACATATGAAGGTGCTTTAAAGGTGATGGAGCATGTGAACAATTAAACATTTATTTATGCTCTCTAAAATCATTTACAAATGAATAGTTATAAAAGAGATAACATTTTTTAATGAAGTCTGTAGAAGAACTGGATATAAAGAAAGCAGTTTTCTGGGATTTGGCACAGTCTGCTTCTACCGGTTCTCACGGTCTCTTCGCTTGCAGATTTCTTATATTTATTCTTCTACCCTGAAGATGGAGGCGATATGTTCCTCCGAAACGTCGGTTAACACCACATATATACGGTGCCAAATCCCAGAAAACTGCTTTTTTCATAGTCACCGCCGTGAAAGCCTCAAATCTTACAACTGGATATAAAGTTTCAATTGCCTAAGGTGTCTTTTCTGCCACTACTAAGGAACAATATGAGCTAGAATAACTCTGCAAAATGTCTTTAGTTGAATGATTGGGGTTCAATTCCTGTCACAGCCAGGAACTTCTTCCTTCTCTACTATGTTTACAATACCTCTGGTTGAGTCTCCTGTTGAGTGAAAACCAGTGGTTATCTGCTCAAGGTGGAGGGGCAGCAGAGCGTAGCTGCCCATTTAATTCCATCTACTGCCAAGGTCAAGAATGTGTACAACTTTACTTCTGCTCCCTTATATATCACTACAGTTTGGTGGTGAGTTAAGCTACTGTATTAATATTAATGAATACAACTGCTGCTAACACTTTATTTTGTCATGGTTCAGAAACATTGTCAGCTACTACAAAGACATTTAAAATTACAATAAATACAAGTATATGCATGCAGAAACAAAACACCACCACTGTTAGAAACAATGATACCACTCCTACAGATCCATAAAAAAATATGTATAATAATATGACTAGATTATATCCTGCACCTGATGGCTGGTAATATACTTTGATGAAATTCCAAAATTTAAATATGAAACCATCTAGCCAACAAAGCAGAAATAGAATGGGTTTGGGTACTTCAACAAGACAAGCACTTGCAATGCAGACATATTAAGGAAAAGAAAACAATTTACATTGTCAGGGCTACCAATACTCCGAATGTGTGTGATAAATTCTTGGGACTGAAACTTACTCCCCATATAGGAATCTATGAATCATTCAATAAATAATTATGAATTAACAATGAATTTTTAATAATTATTAGTTTCATGTCATCTCACAGCACTGCATTTTTAATTATTAAACTAACTGTGTCATAAGTTTGTTCAGTTTTTCAAATGTTGTAGAGTAAGCAAGGGACGTTCAGTTTCATGTCCAACTGTAAGAACCATGACCATGTTTCATCATATTTTCCCAAATATAATGAGCACCCTAATTCAAAGAAGTCAAACTGAACTGAAAAGATTCTTACTGTCTGTCTAAGCACAATAGATCACTGTGGTCACGGTGCAAGGGCCAAGAAGGCCCACCCCTTGTACATTCATTCATACGGTCTGTCTAATTTAACCCACTGTGTGGGATTGTCGAGCAAGATTCATGACAGGTAATGGAGTCCATACTTGGCAATAACATACCTTGCCTGTAAATCTTCAACTATTCCTGGCATTTTTTCACTTGTCATTCACAGATAGCAGAGAGGCATTTTTTCTGACATTTGGCTAGCCAGTAGCATTTGTTTACTAGTAACATGCACTTTCTTTCAGTTTCTATCCTTTAATTTCCAAGACAGAAGTGAGTAGAAAGAGCCACAGTACAGATTTAAACAGTTAATCCACAGTCAGACCCCCACAGTGGTTTAAGGAGGACCATGCACCCAGAAGTCAGTTACCATCTACATGCCTCATCATTCCCATACGAACTGGAAGGTCTGAAGATTTCCCTCACATTTGACATTCAGAAATATTTACAGCATCTGAATTATAAAATAAGATATGATATAAACTAATAATACTTCATACAAAAGATGAAACACAAAGTAGTGATTCTCTTTAAAATGACTTCAATAATTTTGATTACACTTTGCCCATTTATAGAGAAGACAGAACACAGACCATACACTCTAAAAAGCAACAGTGTGGCATTGAGAAACCTTTATTTATTACAATATGCATCTATATACTGTATCTTTGGCATTTTAGTTTAAATGAATATAAACTGGAGAAACAATTCTTCAGTGTGAAATGAGTATCAATATATTTGATCATCATTCTTCCATTATAGCCTCATTACTCATTTGAATAACCCTGAATGGTATCCCTAAACCAGCATAAAATATCACAAATTTATCAGACACCAATTAGTGCCATTTCTATGCATGCATACACTATTTTGTAAAAGAAAATTTCCTTACTAGGCAATGAGTTCTTTGTTTAATGTTGTACCTTTAAATAATGACTGTTTCATCTTTCCCACTATAAAACCCAATATCAGGAAAATTTCCTTAAAATATACATGGCAGCTACATTCTTGAAAATAGGTGTGTAAATAAAAAATGAGTAAATCAAACCCAATTTTCCAAAAAGAAATAAATAAGTGGTAGGGCTTAGGAGACGTGCTGACTCAGTGCTCATTTGAACATGTTTTCCTTCACTAAATTTTATTTGAAACTGTGGTTATGGTTTTTTGCTTATTTGTTACTGATAATAAGACATTAAAAAGAATACCTCAAATAGTAATGTGACATGGAGGCAATTATAATAAAAAGAATTCATGAAAAATGTTTTCAACACTAAGGTGAATGCTGCCGGAAATGGCTTGCTGGTGGAGGTGGTATTGGAAAGGTGGGGGTTATTGGGGATGGGGGTCATCTCTGTCAGATGACCCAGTAGGTGACACCAATGGAGAAATAAAGATGTTAAGATGCCACTTCATTTATGGGCAGCTGATTAGTTTTCAAAGTGCCTGAGGTACAAGTTTGACATTCAGGTAGTTTAATGCTTTCCTTTTTCTTAAACATGGAAAGCAATGATGTTCCAAAGGCTTTCATTTTCTTTGTTTCAGTGTAATACTGCAAAACATTTGACACTTTTGAACTTTGCTCACTATCAGGATATTTTCATCTAAGACAGCAAGACCTTGCTCAACCACGCAAAATGCTACTGCCAATGTTTTACTCGTAAGCATATGCATAGCCTCAAACTTTGCTGCTTCCTCCGCCTTCTCCTAATGCCCCTTCTCTAGCTGAATTAAATCCTCAGTAGGAAGTTTTTCTTTGTGCAAGTTTGATAAATCCAACACATTAACTAAATCAGCCCCATCAAAGGCAATTTTCTTTGCAATTTCCCAATTTTTTCTGGGTTTTAGACACATCCTCATCCACAGTGAACCCCTTTAAATCATGCACTAAATAAAGGAAACGTTTCTTCCATACAGTGTTCATGCAAGAAAGTCTGCCTGCCTTCCAGACAGTTCAAACTGCATACTTCCAAAAAATGGTCATGTAAATTAAAATTTTATGTTCATAAGACAACCACATAATTCCAGAAATGCATAAAATCCATGTACAACAAGTGGCTGTACTAAAAAAATACAAACGCAAAACAAACTATGAGTAATACCTATGTCTTAGTTTCACAACTGCTTAGAGATTCTTTAACTCCTAAACCTACCCTTTATTTCAATGAATTTGATTGCACAGTACTGATGTAAGGGGTTATCCTCACTGGACAGAACAGATAGTTGACGTTCCTTTCCGTTTGTCCATTGCAGCTGCTCGACGTTTGATGGCTTCAAGATACACTTCACGGTTGAAGAGTCCAGCTGCGAGCGGAATTCTGCATCAGACCATAAAATGAATGTCAATAACTTTAAAAATACACTGACTATTTAGCCTTTTGGAATTCATGCTCATGTTCAACATGAACCAGCACATCCATCAATTGGGACAGACACCAAACATATTTGAGAACAAAACAGAAAAGCCAAAAGTAAAGTGATTTAATGTGCTAAATTTCATTTAGGACATGGAGTTTCTTTGGCGCCACAGCCACCACCGCCACCACAAAAATACATGGACTAAGGTTGGAACCTCATGGTTTTTACATGTTCAATGTCTGAAGAACCTCAACTATTTTGGGACATCCACTATAAATTATTATTTAAAGCTGACTGTAGCCATGAGAGGGTTTCTGTTAAAGAATATGACGACATTTTTTCTGTTCATGAATGTGATTATACTATGTTCTTCTGTTCATTAACATAAGAACAGTATCCCTTCTTATTCGTAAATGTAACTATAGAAATTTTTAAGTTGAAAATTGCTGGACTAGCATAACAAACCTTTCTACATTGCACCCAAATAGTTAATCTGCTCCAGTATATTACATCCGAGGTTCTCATGATGGTAACTATGAGGAGTATTGTCTTCTGAGATACGGTACTGTGTAGTCTGGTAGATGTTTACAGATATTTCCTCCATCTTCAGCATGGAAGAGTAATCCAAGAAAAAAGTAACATCGAGCCATAATAATATCAACACTACTGATGTGTCATTCAAATATTTTGTTAGTCAGCCATTGTAATTTCACACAACATATCCTGAACTACAAACTGAACCAATGAACTAACATTTACTGTTATCTTATTCCTTACTTGGCTTACACTTCAAACCTGAAGATAGGAGTACGTACCTCCAAAATGTAGGTAAACGTCCATCAGACCACATAGCATCACATCCCACAGGGCAGAAATATTTCCACTCTACATAATAACACTACCACCAGGCTGCAATTCAATTGACATTTCATTTGCAGAAAACATGACTAATATTCACTTTCAGCACAAATTTTCTTTCAAGAGTATATGGGTCAAGGAATCAGAATTCTGAAAGCCATACAGTTCATTCTATGTTGAAAGTGACTTAAAGGAAACAGATTAATTACTACTATGTTCTAATCTCATTTTCCTCATCTCCTTTCTTTTTCAAATAAACTAAAATAAAATAACTGCAATTTGAACTTGTAAGCACTAGAAAAAAGTATTTCTTATAATTTCTGTTATCTAGGCAACCTTTTATATAAAATACATATTGTAGTTTTCTGGGTTATGTACCAGTCCCACAGACTACAAAAAATGAATCATTACTGCCCTGAAAACTTAAAATATTTATATTAAAACACTGATAAGGTATACCCACGTGTCTATTCCAGGACGCACAGTACTACGATACAGGCCCCAGACAGGCTTGTGGTCAGATGTGCATATTGAGGGTACAGAGGCATACATTAGGCATTCCAGAAGTGCCGCACTGGAACTGCTGGATGAATCACGCCGGTGGGATGAACCCTTTGATTTGAACAGTATGCGGTCAGTATAGGCAGGTGCACGTTGCTTATGCGAGGTGTCAAACTGCTGGGTTCCAGGATCATATTTGTAAGTAGGTGAAAATGTGATCGGCCCTTCCTCAAAGTCCTGGAATATCGAACCTGAAAAAAAATATCGTTGACTTCAGCATTTTATAGTCCGCCTGCTATTCTCTCTTATTTCAACAGGAAGTTTTACTTTTGTTTGATTATTGCTTCAGGTCAGTTCATTTACCATGTTTTCACCTGACTAAATTAGGTAGCACAATGAATTAGAATAAAAAATGTGGAAGTGATTGTTGGTTATGCTAAGGCCCTGCCCAGAAATTTGTCTGGAGGGACTCTAGGAGGGGGGGAACCTCAATCATAATAGCTGAGCCTTCAGATAAATATTTGAAACCAGGGCCTCACAAATATGAAGCAGGAACATCAACCACTTTCAAGAAGCTCAGTAACTTTCACTTTGTGATTATGGAAACTGGATAATATCATGTTGACAGTAATAAGTAAATATAAGATGTCCAGAAAAAAAAAGTAATGGTGTTTTATTTGGAGATGCCTTCTTACCATTTACCTGGTGAGGTTAAGAGATGGCTTTCTTGCAAAGAAATACATTACATAAGACTGCAATATAAATAAGAATAACACCTTAAATAAATTACTTGATCTTGCAATTACTGAGATTCAAATGTTCACAATTACAATGTACAAACATTCTGTCCTGAAAAATATTAACTTCTCCTTAAGAAAGGGGGAAGTGTGTCAATCAACAGACATAACAACAGTAAACTGAGCGTTATGATGTAGCATTTGCCACAAATAAATAAAGAACATATACAGGTTCTGACGATTTTCTTTCTCCCCCCACCCCCCAAACCCCGAATGGTCATGACATAGATCGTGATCTCCTGGTTTATGACACCAAGTAGTGGTTTATGCAGTCACCATCATTTCAGAAGAACCTGCTGCCTCCATCTTCAGAATAGAATATCTAGTCTGAATACACTGATAAGAATATTAATAGTAATATCCTTGTGCTACACACTGGAGAATGTACACCCAATACGCTACCCAACTCTATTACAAACTTGACAAATCTCAAGTTTATAAACATCTTTTACACTCAGCTCTAGCCTATAAAGCACAAACATAATTTCTAATATTAAGCAACATAAACTCAGATACAACACTGTAAATGAAAACAAAGGAATTTACAGAATGAATATTAACTGACATAAAAGATGATTTCTTGTTCATGCAATATACCAACACAGAGAAACTATGAACAAGTTTCTAATCTACCTTCACTGCGACTGTTACATAGTTGGTCACTCTGAAGAGTGAGAGGCTGGGGCACAGGAAACCTCTGCTCTGCTACCCACTGAACAACCTCATCTCTAGGCTGTGACAGCCGGAAATTAAGATCACCGCACCAAAATATGCAGTCAAAGTTCTGTGTCACATCTGTAACAAAAGTGGACAGAATTGATTAAATATGTGGTGTTTTCCTTGTACTCCTGCTTTTCTAGCTAACACTCTTTCATTTGCTTTCTGGCTAAAGCAATTTTCAAAAGTTCAGACTCTTACAGAGCAAGTGGAATGTAAAGTAACTTTTTGTTAAAACGAATCAAAACTCAGAATTAAAATACATGCTTCAGGCTGTTAAGAAAACAAATAAGCATTGATCTGAATAAGGCTTCCTAGAATATATGATTAAGGATTTTTTCTTGTTCATTATGTTATGTATGCAAATTCTTATTAATGATCAAGTCAAGGAGGATGAGGCAGGCAGGGCATGTAGCACGAATGTGGGAGAAAAGGTATGCATATAGGATATTGGTGGGAAAGCCAGAAGGAAAGAGACCACTGGGAAGATCAAGGCATAGGTGGATGGACAATATTAAAATGGATCTTAGAGAGAGGATGGGATGATATGGATTGGATTGATCTGGTTCAGGCCAGGGACCAGTGGATGACTCTTGTGAACACGGTAATGAACCTTCGGGTTCCATAAAATGCTGGGAAATTCTTGAGTAGCTGCAGATTTGGCTTCTCCTCAAGAAGGGCTGAGCTCCATAAGTAAGTTAGTAAGTACGTATGTAAGCAAATTCTTATTATTTTCACATAATTTCCATTTGAAATGAATAGTTTTCTGAAATATTAAATTTCTCCCATAATTCTTCATCATTATATCTCTCTGATATTCAACCACCAATGATTCTTCGGCATTCCCAGTCATCTCCCCCCCCCCAATTATTCACAAGTTCAGGTCTGTCTCAAGTATTTGTTAGATACATTATATGAAAGTGTCCAAAGCACTTCAGCCTGATTTGCCTGAGAGAATATTACTTCCAGTACATACAATAAAACTATGTAACTAAGAATGCTATCATATCCAAAGGTTTAACACAACTAATACAACCAAAACACACCACTTAACACAATCACACACCACTTCTATTCAATTCCCATCCTCATAATCTAGATCCCTATAAGTCACTTAAAGAACAGGATCTATACAACTCAGTATTCTGACATTCACAGCTACAATACCATATGTAAACATAATTTGTATGTCCAATTTTGTAATACCAATCGTTGCAAAAAAGTGTAATCAATATGGGAACTAAAATATTTAATGACCTCCCCCTTGAACAGAAGAGCATTAAAAATTGTAATGTTTTTAAGAGGAAATTAAAAAAATTATTTGCTGTGCAGCACTTTCTATTCTCTTCAAGAGTTTTTTAACTAATGTTGGACTGATGACTAGTTTGTTGATTGTTTTTGGTTTGCAATTTTTAATACTGTGTCAAAGTGTTTTATATTACTGTTATTATTCTTTTGGTCTTATGCATCTTTTATTGTTATGTACCTTATAACAGTTGTTATATTATTGTAATACATCACTGTGTAATTTTTATGTGACTTTGACATGTGATGTATTTGCTGTTATTTTTTAACATGTCCAATTGTATTCACTTCAGTAAAAAAAGTAAAAAAGTAAAGCTCTCCCAGTAACAGGCTGTGAAGGCCCATAGGGTTGTGAGACGTTAAGGGTCCCACATTACCTTGACAATTGGCTCAAAGATGGCAGTAAGGTTGTCAGCCCTACGCACCGCCCGCACTTTACTCCCCAGGAAAATTTTTTATTTAATTCCTGGTACTCATTTCTGTTAAGAGGCTGAGTAAACCCCAGGGCCTAGTGCGGCCGGAAGGATTAGATCAATTGAAAAAATCCAATGACCTCATCGGGACTTGAACCCATGACCTTCCGGCTTGTAGCATAGTACCTTAACCACTACGCTACCGCGTACCACCACAGTGGGAAGCCAGCGACTAACCGCTTGAGCTATGGTGTGGCCCTACTATTAAGATTAATGTCTTCTGGTACGTGATCACTTGTAGACAAGTACCAGGCAGACAGGAGCAAGTTCCTCTGAAACACTGGTATCAGTCTACAATATTGCATAACATAAGATCTCAGAAAACAACAATCTTCAATCTCCGTTCTTTGTTTTTGTCATCATGCTTCTTTCATTTCGCTAGTGTTGACACGTCATACATTGACTTTTAAACACTGTCATGCAAGATGTTAAATTATGAACTTCCATTACCAGCCTATCACTTCTCATTAACATAAAATTCAGTCTGTAATTGCATTAAATGAAGTCATAACTCACCTTCTTCTTTATTGTTTTGGATGATGAAATACAGAGGGAATCTTTATGTAAAAGGTAAAGTTTTCCCCGTGTTCGATTAATTAAGCACTGTGTCATAAAGACATATGGAGGAGTGGAGGTATAGATCCACCATTCTTGACCTTGGCACTACATGGAGCTGAGTGGTCAGCTTCATACTCTCTCCCCTTTACCCCTGGGGAAAGAGCACGTGATACCCATTGGATAGGAGGCTGGGTGGCCTGTCTGGATGCTATGGAGAGGAGAAAAGTCTTTCCTCTGCCAGGAATTAAACACCGGCCATCCAGCCTGTCACTATATTGAGTGAGCTGTCCCAGCTCCTGAGAATCTTTATGTAGACTATATTTACTTAACTGTGTTTCATTTAACATCTTCAATAGCTCTAATTATATAGCATCAAGTACTTGGAAGATTGGTGAACAATGAAATGGAAGGGATCTGGAAGAAAGTGAATGTAGTATAATTGGAGGTACTTTCCTGGCATTTGCCTTCAGAAACTACGGAGTTACGAAATCCATGAGTCAGATGGGTAGGTCAAATTGTTACTGGCAAAGGTCAACACAATCATTCCTAGCTTCAGACCCCTCAAAATCCATGAAGATAATTTTTATTCTCTCCTAGACATGTATGTTTTGAAACGGGGCCACCTCTTTGTTGAAGGAGGGCTTAGTCTTTATATGTAGGCATGTTTGTTACACCATAGTTTCAGCACTAGTATATACGATGGGGTACCCAAAAGAAACCAAACTAATTTTTTTGTGGGCAGAGCTTTTGTAGTGCCGCGTTTTGCCGCTATGAGCGCATAGAGCTAACATTCCTGAGTCGATATGCTGACTACCGTTGCTTCAGAAGGTAAGGACTAGTTTTGGCAGAGTTTATAGTGACAACTGTTTTGTGTGATCGTCGTTTTTGCAATGGCTGATTTTCGTGAACAGCGTGCTTTTTGCTCGGGAAAAGTGGAACAGAAACTCTTGAAATGTTAAAAACGGTGTACAAGGATGATGCTATGGGGAACACTCAAGTGTTTGAGTGGTTTTCCCATTTCAAAAATGGTGAAATGTCAATTGATGACAAACATCATTCTGGTCGTCCTTCCACGGCCCGAACACATGAAAATGTTGAAAAAATTCGTGAAATCATCAAGGAAGATCGACGACAGACCATTGAAGAAATTGTGGAGCTATCAGGAGTGACTTGGAGCTCAGCGGCCAGATTTGTGGCAGTCGGGTGACTGGTTTTTCCATCATGACAATGCCCCTGCTCACACAGCCCTGTCTGTACGACAGTTCTTGACCAAAAATGGTATGACCCCTGTTCCTCACCCTCCATACTCACCCGACNGAGCTGTCACAGCGTCCAAGTCATTAGGACAAGAGGCTGATCAGACGTAAATTTTGAAGAAATTTTGGGTCTTTGCCAGGTTTCGGCAGTTACGATTTTTGCCTCCTGTCAAAGTGCTGGAAAGTTACCAAGCTGAAGGCAGTGATTGAATAAATGCAGTAAATGCACAAAGGGTCTTCTTGGATGCTGCCTGAGACACTCATTTGTAATTCAATCAAAACCACAAGCCATTCCTAATTTCAAGGATTGTATTTCTTTTGACATGTCATAGGGTTGGAAATTAACAGGGATGTCTTCATAGATGATAACCAGCAAGGCTTCAACTTGAGCCTCCACACGTTGTCTATTGTCACAGTTGGACAAGTCATGAGCCCTGAACTGGTTGTCTAAGCAGTTGGCTATTATGTTGGCTTATTAATTGGATAAAATATAAGACCTAATGGATAATGAATTGCAGATGATGCCTTTGATCCATCCTTTTTTGAGAGGGATTTTGCAATAAGCCATATTGCTTGAGGTGTGAATTTGCAGTTTGCGAACTTTGTTTCCCATCTTTCAAGTGCTGGTTTCAATCCCTGACATAGCCTTGGTAAGGACCACATAGAAAACACTGCACTGATTAACACTGGCCCAACAGTTTGTCCATTGTTATGTGTGCATTTGTTGCCACAGAGAGGCATTTACCATTCCTTTTCCTAACAATGGCTGTCTCTCTTGGCTCCATTATTCCAGCATTCAGCACTCATTCAGTCCACACACTTGAAGAGAAAACATTAAAAATTTAAATTCAGTAACTACCAAATACAATGAAACTTACCCTTGCTCTTGTGACGGACAGGCAGTTGTTTGGGTAGGTCAAGAGAACGAACAATCCTCCTGACATCCTGAATCCTTTCCTTCACCTTACCAAGATGCGCAGTAAGATGTGCAGTGATGAACAGGTAGGATGTGCCAAACAGCATGAATCCAATAGCTACTGCACCTTTTGTCTTGAAAGCAGTTCCAGGTCGCACACTGAAGCTTGAATCTTCAGCCACTGAAAGTATAATTCACATATTATGCCATAACATACAATATAAGGCAATATCATTTACCAATATCATCATTATCCTGAATAGGTGAGACATGAGGTTCTTACAGCAGTGACTGTAAAGAGTACTGCCCTCTGAGATGTTAGGCTATTTAGTCTGGAAGAATTTTACCAGATGGAAGACTTCTACTGGACTTTATGATATAACATACCAGAACACAGTACTGTTCAGCATCCTTAATCTTTGCAGTACTGATTCAGTTAGACTGAGAGAGGCTTTGTAAAATATTTCTTTTGTTGGGGAGGGGGGGGGGATCCTGTTAGAATACATCGTTCAAGTTTAATCAATAGTGCTTTATAAAATTTGTAGTTAATGACATTTATAACTTTTACGTGGGTTCTTTTCAGCATGGCATGGCATATCCTTAAGTTGTTGATGAGGGAATCAGCCTCCAGACATGGACAATAGCTGCAAATATACTGAATAAGCAGTCAATGACAGCTGACAAGGCACAGTCCTAAAACTCCATGGTTTCAGTCCACAAGTAAACTATACCGACCATGCGACCGCCGCTTGTAAGCCAAATTAGTGCCAACTTTAGCGAATAGAGGGTGTCACATGGTCAGCACAACAAATCCCCACAGCCATTAATTGCTCCTCAATTATCCTCATGAGGCTGAGTGGACCCCATTCCAGACCCACTACTTCTCAGAAAATTTGGTAGCGCTGCGAATCGAACCTAGACCTCTGGATCAGTAGCCAGGAACTCTGACCACTAGACCACAGAGGCAACACTTCTCAGAAAATAATTTTACTAGTCATATTTTTGGAAGTAGCTCCTAGTAAATACCTAGCAGAATTTAATATTTGTGAATACACTGCACTTTACCTGCTAGAGGTACTCTTTGGGTGGGGGTGGGGGGCTTTATATTTTGACAAAATACAATATTAAGGAACTTGAAAAAAATATGGTATAGTTCTTTCTCCTAGACATTCAAATGCATGTGATCACAGGAACAGGGCACTGTAGAATGAGGTAGATATATTAATCTCATAAGTTGCTTCTTCTCTATAGCAAATCATTGGAGTTTTCTATCTGCAGAAGTAAGACATAGAGCTAACTAGGTAGCTAACCCGAACAGAACCAGAGAAGGTCCCTGCGAATGAAGATGGCTAGATGTATTGTGCCAAGACTGGATGAATGCAGAAGCAGGTGTGACGGGCCCACTGTCTCCTGGATGCTCACTTCCCACTCGAATCGTTCTGAGAAGCTCTCCTGAGTTCCAATAGCAATTACGTCTGGCACGTGTTCTAGGTCATCTGGCAGCATAAAGTCATTCAGCTGTGGTGGTGGAGCCTGTCAACAAGAATGAAGAATGATCATCAACCTTCACAGAAGTGCATGAGCATGTACATGTGCGTGTGTGTACGTGTGCGTGGTGGTACTAATTTTTCCAAGCAGGGCCACATACCCCCATATCTCAGAGAACCATATCCAAATTTGATTACTAACAGCAATGAATAATGTACTTAATTTCTGGAAGGATTAAAACACAAGACCAAGTGAATCAAGACAAGAAGCACAACTACTTAATGGTCACCTTTTTTTTTTCTTGAGTTCAGGCAAGACTGACTTCACTTGGTAAGTCGGCCACTAATTGGACTATTGTACCAGCCCTGGATGATAGATGATGAATGTGGAGCAGATGGTGGAATCAGAATTGATAAGGGAAACCAAATTACTCAGAGATAACCTGCCCCAGTGCCACTTTGTCCACCACAAATCCAACATGACCTGACATGGTCACAAACCCAGGCTGCCACAGTGGGTAGCCAGCAACAACGAACTGCCTGAGCTATGGCACGGCCACTAATGGTCACCATAGTCAGAAATGCTGAAATGTACATTAAAAAAAAAAAAAAGCAACAGGAGCAAACATACTTGAACATAAGATCATCTTAGCCTAGCCTTTTTACTTTTGGACTATTAAGTTTTTATGCTTCTTTCTTAATTTACAGTAGTATAACTTTTCAATCAAATTAATGTATACTACCAAAAACTAACCACCTCCCTGGTATTATAACCTGAAACTTCAACATTGCCAACACTAAAACCCTACAGTGCACATGATCTTATGTGAGTTCCAACCATTTCTGATTGTCAGAAGTAGAGGATGATTTTAGGTCTAGTGTAAAAAAGTAAAGAAGCATTGTTTGGTTGTTCTTTACATGTAAGAAGTTGCTTTTTGAATAAAACCTGTAGTATTTATACCCTAATACTAATCTTAGAAACGGGCTGGTATTTGATTCCACTTCTTTTCCCACATACCGGAAACAATGTTACTCTTTGTTTACATATTAATATTTCACACAGACATACAACTGATTGGGAAAATCAATATTTCTGAACAAAATATATTTTCATGTTCATTTAACCCAACAAATAAAACAGAATCACTTTGAAATAAAAAGAAACTCACCATGTCTTATCTGACATACTGCTACCTACCTGGCCATTCATATTCCAAGTACCCACAAAGATCCGCAATTCCCGCTGTGGCAAAGTCCGTTCCAATTCTACTAATCCCAGAAGAGATGTCGCTGCAATACGACCATGTAAGAAATTCCTGTAACCAACATTCATCTATTTAAGTACTTCTGATACGCTAAGACTGACCGCCATACCAAACAACAGATTACAGCACAGGCTAAATGCTAAATATATCTGTGTGTAAAATTTTCCCAAAAAGAAAAATTTCTTTCTTACTGAGAAATTCCTTTGCTTGGATGAACTACTGTGTGTCCTCTTTCACCATTCACTTACATACATACATACAATAACTTGAAACCCTACTATACTTTACTGTCTTCTTGCAAATTATCTGGGTGCTGGGAATAAATTTGACCCTTGCAGAATAAAGAGGTACCCTGCACTATATGCCTCTTCACTGGGGTTTGAGCTATAGAGATTCTACATTACAAAAATAAGGAAAGTCAGAGATGATAGAGATATTTTTCTTTTTACTAAAAACATAAAAGTTCAAGATTCTTTCACACCAAGTTCCTTAAGGTTTAATTAACAATACTTTGGTAACGAGAGTGTGAGGGATTAATAAAATATATTCTTTGCTACCTCCAGCTAAAATTTAAGGGTGGCAGGAAATCACCACCCTTGCACTTCTGACTTCCCTGGTTAGACTCTAATCATCAGACCACAGAGGTGGTTGAAATATATGGTAAGAAATCACAACATCCATTCCATTCCATTTATTTCGTGTCCATGGATCATTATACATGATATAAGACATGTCATCTACATCCTTGCACTGAAAAACTCAGTTTTGTTTATAAGCTACAGTCATTACATATGTTTTTAAATGCCAAAATTAAATTTCTCTGCTATTGTTCACTTACTACAAATTAATAAACTCTTCAAACTTACTACCAATTCTACAGCAATTACTGTTGTTTTAAAAATATATGTCTAGGATTCTGTACGACTACTATCATCATATAATTTGAAATATTTGGAACACAACTCTTGATTTCTTTGTCTTTGTATGGTTTACCATGAGACTAATGTATCAATGATTCATCATCACCAACAAACACTGTTTATTGTGAAATGCGGAAACTCTATATTTCCTTGTTACATGCATATCTTTGTTTTAAGGGGTTATTATGCAGATTTAAATGCCTATATTTCATATTTCATATTTATTTTGCATTCATACTGTTACAACTGCAACACTTGAACAAGTAAACTCACTAGATACATCATTGTTAAAAGCTCTATAATCCTAGAATGTATTAGACTAAAAATAAAAACTGTACTTGCCTTAAAACATCACTAAGAATTTTAAAAATATAATAATAACTACTACAATTCCCTTTTCTTCTCTTTTTTTGTTACTTAAAAAAAAAACTTGCTATACTTCCTCATGTCCCTGTTGAAGAAACTCATTCAATGTATAGAAAGGACGATCAAATAAAAATAAGTTTAATTTATGTTTAAATTCATTACATCCCTTTGACTCTTTAACTTCCAAAGGAAGTATATTATATAATTTAATGCCCACATTAATAACACTTTCCTTAAAAACTGATGTGTTGCATTGTTGTACATGAAGATCATCTTTCCTCCTAGTATTATACTCGTATAAATCAGTATTTCTCGTAGTGTATATATTATATCTCTTAAAAGAACACAACACCTCTATGCTGTACAAGGACGTAATAGTTAAAATCTTCAATTCTTTAAATAAAGGTCTGCATAACACTCTGTTATTTACACCTTTCATGAAACGAAGCAGCCTTTCTTGTATTTTAAAGACTTTAATACTTTCATTCTCTCCTCCCCAAAAAATCAACCCATAACTTACCAACGATTGAAATATAATAACAATACCAACAGTTATTTATGGCTCTTTCTCACAAAATGTTTCAATAATGTAAATATCTCTACCTCTTACATGACCACGTTGATCAAAACATCTAGTGCTACATATAATAAAAATAAATAGTAACATCAATTCTGTTTACTTATAGACTGTTGTGTTGATGGCCATGTCAATACCCTTACCTCTCTCTGGCTTTTGTTGTGGGTATGAGATGAAGAACTTGCGCAGCAAGTAGAGAATTTCGAGCCAAGCTATCCATGGATGCAACAATGCCATGAATTGCACCATTCTCAGGGGCAAGGTTCCCATGACTGCCTCTAGAAGGTATAGACACCCTTTTATCCTTCCCATCCCAGTATGGAGGCAACATGGTATCATGAGATGATGACCTTGTCTTGTAACCTCGAATGGGATCAGGAGTGCTTTGACTAGATTCAGGAGATGAATGACGAAGAGAAGGAGAACGGCAAGAAGTAGAAGACATAAGGAGGTTGTCAGCTGAGCGGCGTTGTGATAGCAAACGTCTTCGAAGTTGAGCCTGTGATGACATCTGCATCGGAGATGAATCACAGGAAGATACTTCACTTGGTGAAGGGGACTGAGAAATTCTCAGTGAAGGCTGTCTTGAAACAGGAACACTTTGAGAAATATTTTCCTGAAGATGTGAGTCACTACCTGCTTCCCTTGAATGAGCAGAAGACAGATGCGTCTCATCAATAGATGAGGCTTTATTGACACTCTGCATCACTTTGTACACATCTTGTATATCTGAACTTGCAGGTACAGTTACACTCTGATGATTCTGATCACTTCTTTCTGTACTATTACTGCGATGGTAATCAGAACTATGTTGATGATCCAGTGATCTAGAACTTTCAGTCATGGCACAACAGAGGGAGAGCTTAGTACTGTTGCTGAAATCTCTTGGGGATCCCAAGTGATGTGTCTCTTGTACTTCCTTTGTAACATCTTTATTTTGACTTTCTCCTAATTTAGCTATACTGCTTGTTTTCTTCACTGGTGATATGACCGATTCCACAGTGTTGCCAACATCGTTTTTTGCGTCCTTCTGATTTAAAGGACTGTTATTCTGAACGTCCTCTTGCAAGCTTATTTCTTCTGATTCAGCAGAAAGGCAACCAACCTTTGTTTTCTTTTGCATTAATAACCTACATAAAGATTTTTTCTTTGGTTTTAGCTTTGAACACTGATCCTGTACATCTGTTGCATCATCATCAGACATTTCCATCTTCAGATACTAATTGTGAATCCAATGACAAGAAACATTTCAAATTGCTGTACCAAGACTATCACATTACCTTAAAAGAAATTTGTAGTAACCTATAAATTTATTTATAAATACTACATTATCATGAAGAGTTCCGTGAATTTTCTCAAACATTTCTATAATATGCACGTATAAGTAATATACGTTCTAGGACTAATATACGATGTATGCGGAAAAGAATGAAATTCCACCATTACATTTTTGACAGTTTTCATCCCGAAATACTTTCCAGAACGGCGCCATGTTCTTGCTGCAAGCAGTGTTGTGCAGTACCAAACTTCAAAACTTCCCAGAAGAGTGCTGCACAGCACTACTCCTGTCCGCTCTTAACCCAATTTAATCTGTAGTAGAAATAGTAAGCAAGAAATACACGTGTATGTCTAAAGACTGAACGTGGAATTAATGAGAATCTCATTATCGTCTGAACATTGTTAACTCCGGCAATATCCAGCAACGTAAAGCTGTTCCTGCACGTAATTAATTAAGCATCACGTCATGAAAAATAAAGTAAGAGTAAAAATATAGCTTCATCATTCTTCACCGGGGGAATTAGTAGCCAGCTTCCCCCCCCCCCCTCCACGCAAAGAACCGGCATCGATAGCCATTGTATAAAGTGTTAGAAATGTTAGATGGGTTAAATGAACCCCTGAGCCGGTCTGGTCGCTGTGGATAAGAGAGGAACCTCTTGCCCCTGCCGGAAGATTAAAGACTGCTTTGGATACCGTTATCAGACAACAGGTGGAGAGACAGCAGACTGAGGAGACCTGTGCGCTGTAGTGAACTGTAGTGTGTGTAAATTAGCGAAAGCGCTATAGTTACTTGTACAAGTAGTGACGATCAGTAAATGTTCATTATATCCGATTACCGGTCAAACCCCCGCGTTTATAGTCGCTTAACACATGACTTCTGGTGGCTTCCATATTCTGTCTGTCATGCGTCATGCCACATTTCTCCCTCCTTAAGGCTTCTCGTCCCGAGCAGCCTATTGGTGTGTAACAATTTCTTCCACTACGGGGAGAGAAATTCCGGAAGTTGCCGGTGCTCCTATAGTGACAGCACGCAAGCTTCTAGTAGGCTCTTCTTCATTTCGAGTGAGGGGCCGACTCCTTCACAACGTCCAGTCACTCACTTTCCGCAACCCGACTACTCATTTCACGACCTCCAAGACAAGGGTTTGACCGAGGGCCAAACAGAATGCCACGTTGCTTCCCAGACGTAGCTGCTCTTTCAGGCCAAGGACCCTTACGCCATTGTTTCATTCCGGGACCTTTCGGCTTTTTTTTTTATCGAACGTCGGTCCTCTATGACAGCGGCTTGTACAAGCAGATTAAATTCTTGGAATGTTTGCCATCATTCGGTTTAGCAACTTTTGACTTCTTTCTTGCTATCTAAAAACATAAAGATTAAAATGCAGTATACGAAACAATTTTTTCCTGTCGCCTTGTACGGGTGCAAAAGTTAGTCTTCCATGTTAAGGGCAGAACACAGATTGTGAGTGTTTGATAACAAGGTAGCAAGAAGAAAATCTGGACTAAAGAGGGATGAAGTAGTAGGAGGCTGGAGAAACTTTCATAATAGGACCTTCCCAATTCTTACTACTCTTGGTCATCATCAGTAATCTGTCAGACGACAGGTCCACAGTCTCTTCCAAAACAATTCCTCCACTTAATGCGATCTGGAGCTTTCTCCTTCAAATGACAGTATCCTCTTATGTCTTCCAAGGTCATCCAGCATCTTCTTACGTCTTCTTCCTCGTCTTCTTGTCACTTCTATCCGCCCCTCTATATTTCCTTCAATAACTTCTTTTAGAAGGCAGTTTCTGCGTAAAACATGACCAATCCATTAGCACTACTCTTGGTATATTAGAATAATCAAGTCAAAGACGAGATTGGCAGTTTATGTAGTATGTAAGTGATTGCACTATTTTGGTTGAAGGATCTGAAGGAAAGAATCAGTAGGAAGATCTAAGGTTAGATGGAAGGGTAATATTAAAATAGATCTTAAATATAGGATGGACGTGAGTAGACTGGATTTATCTTAGGCAATTAAAGACCTGCTCTTGTGAACACGACAATGAACCTGCGGGTTCCAAAAATTCTTGAAATTTATTGAGACGCTGCGCGTCTACTAAGCCTTCCAAGGAGGCCTGTGCCGATGTTATGCGTATGAGGGTTACCAGGTTACCAGTATACGCGGTTATACCTGAGCGTACCTGAGTTACCCGGGCTAGAATCAACCTGTAATGCTTACGTTTGTATATTTAGGTCACTAGATGGCAAAAGGATCGATATGACTACGTTAGTATGCCGAATAGCCGGCAGGTGTCACGCGTCATTGTCAAATATAACTATGACGTCATCATTCAGAATGCAGACCGATGCAGACATTGAACATATTGTTTTCTGTCCGTTTGTTTATTTTTGTGTTGTAGTAGGAATTCACTGTGAAGAATACTGAAGTTGTTCATACTATTGCTGGTTATGGTGAAAGCGGTATTAGTAACGTAGTTGTTATGTAGAAAGAGGTGATTTCTATTATTGGCCATTCGTATGGAAATTTTCATCTCTGCATGGGTGTGTGCTTGTGGGAGTTACCTAAATAGAAATGGAATAGACTAGTTAGTAGTCTTGTTCTTACGCAAACAAACGTATGCGAAGCGTGGGTAAAAAGAGAAGCAGAGTCTGCATTACTAAAGCGTAGTAGAGTGACTAGTAAAGTGGAACGTACTTGCTGTGGAATATTTTTGTTCTTTAAATGTGGCAAACTAATTGCACGTAAGAATGGAAGAAGAAAGTACTAGGGTATTACGAAGTAGTAGGTCAAGATCAAATACTCCATTCATACGTACAAGCCGTGATAGGGAGGTTACTCATGGCACAGAAGAGTTCAGACATGTTATTTCAACAACCCAAACAAAGAGAAGGTGAGTTTTAATTCTGTCGTTAACATTTAGTTGACCGAAGTATTGATATTGCAAGTTTAAGTTGATCGATCGATCGATGTAAATGAATGTGACTAATAATATAAATAGCACCGTCAACGCAACTATAATTTATTAACTTATGTCCACTACATGTTTCTACCCTTACAGGGTCATCCTCAGGTTTTGTCCGCAAAAGTTGGCACTACCGACAAGCGGCGGTCGCTCGTTCGGTATAGTTCCCCTGCGGACTAAAATCCACGGAGTTTTTAGTTCTTATGTTCATATTTAAATGCATAGGCTTAAAATGACCACTCTCTTTGTACATGTATATTCTAACTGCTGGATGTTGATTTAAATACAAGATATATATTAACTAAAAGTTAAAAATTAATTATAAAATGTCATATACTGTATTCAGCTTAGTGTTGTTGCTGTAGTAGACCGCGCATATTTTCGTCTGATTCGTCTGTTATTGGCTAAATTCGTTTGTGTTAACTGTTTCTTGAGCATGAATTTATCTTCATTATTATTACCAGGATGTCGATTGATACTGTTGTTGTGTTATCTAGTTTATGTGCTGCATGGTCTACTACAGCAGCAGACACTAAGCTGAATACAGCATACGACACTTAAATAAATTTTTAACTTTTAATTCATGTATATCTTGTATTTAAATCAACATCTAGCAATTTTAATGTAAATGTACCTAGAAAGTTGTCATTTTGATCCTATATATGTAAATATGCATACACACTTTACAATTCAATAATGAAAATGTGTAAGTCATAACACATGAGGATGACCCAATAAGGGTCGAAACATGTAGTGGAACATAAGTTGAATTATAGTTACGCTGATTGTGGAATTTGTATTCTAAGTTATACTCATGCAACAGAATGCAAACATTGAAAATAAATACAGTTATATTAAATGATTGATTGACTTATTTCGTCAATGTAGGTCATTGTACATTATATAGGACAAGTCAAGTTAATTCTGAATATTAACAATTTAATATATGAGTAAGATTAAAATTACAATAGTTACAATTGTTTACAGTTGATTACAATTTAGAATTAGTTAGATATTCTTATTTGTGGAGAATTTGATGGAATGAAGATTGGCAGGGGAAACCGAAGTACTCGGAGGAACCCTGCCCCAGCGCCACTTTGTCCATCACAAATCCCACCTGCCCAGATCGCAGTGGTGGGAAGCCAGCGACTAAGCGCTTAAGCTGTGGCGTGGCCTTAGAATAATGATATGGATAGCTAGTGTAATGAGGTGATTGCCTGCAGTTTTTCTTCTCATTTCATCATGCATTAAAGTGTATTAGTGACATTAATGGAAGAGATGTGAACTGTGAAGACAGCGTTAATAATTGGTGAATTTGATTCAGTATATGGTAAAGTTGTCCCTGTGCTTAACTAATTAAGCATTACGCCATGAAGCCATATGGGGCAGTGGTTGTATAGAGCCATATTTTGTTGACCTTGGCACTAGTTGGAGGTGAACGATCAGGTTCACACCACGGCCACTTTACCCCCTGGAAAGAGACCCCGGTACCCATTGATTAGGAGGTTGGATGAACCCCAGAGCCGGTCTGGATGATTGGAAAAGTGAAAATTTTAGACCCTGCCAGGACCCAAACTCCAATACCCAATCATCCAGCCTGTAAGCACTCACTATACCGACTACACTATCCCTGCCCCCCTGCAATATATGGTTTAAAACTTAAAGATACCTATTACAGATTCTAAAGAGACCACTTTGAAGGAGTATGTGTAAATGGATTGACAGGGAACAATTATAGGCTCATGTGAAAATGATAATGAACCTTAAGATGCTATAAAAGATGGAACATTTTTGAGTGAGTGAATGACTATTAACTTTCTAAGAATGGATTTGTTTCATGGAATTTGTTATTTAATTATCACAAATTTAAATTGTAACTATGAATAACCCATTTGTCTTGGAATCTAATGTTGCTGTTTCTGTTTATCAATAGGCTGAGGGGTTCCAGCGGTCAGAAGTCTGGAGTAACCCGAGCCAGAGAATCTCACACCAGTGAAGTGAGTGTTACTGCTCTTGGGCATGTGCGTACGAAGACTGGTAATGATAGTGATTCTTCTACCGAGCATGCAGTAGAAGATGAACAAAAGGTAAAGGGCCTCATTATAAAGTAATTTCCATTTCTGTTCGCCAAAATAAGGAGTTCCAGCAATCTTACTTTGTCATTACAGACTGTGACAGAAAGAATTGTAGTTGATAACATAAAGTAGTAAGGATTCTTCTCACCCCACCATATTATTTGCAGGAAACACTGTCCAGAGATCTTTAAAGATTTCTGGTAAAAGAAAGAGGGTTATACAGTAACTGGAGAGAGATATGATAAATTTGTAAGAGAGTTATTATCAACTTTATGAAATGACAACCATGTACTTGAGCCACTTTAATGTTCATTCATGTGACATCATATTGTCAGACTATGGGTGTGACATCATATTATCAGACCATGGGAGTAGGCTATTACTCTTAAGCAAAAGCATTGCAGTGTGTTCGCAGTAGAGCGCAGGGAGTCTAGGTACAGTCAAGCTTCAAGTTGATGTGACACAGCTGTTTGACGCAAGTCTTTCTAACCTTATTTTCCATCTCATATGGTATATTGATGTTACATTAAGAAATGGAAGTATACAGTATTGTGTGATTACCTTATATAATTTATTGCGAAGGTAGTACTCCTTTGGGACATGCAGTAGCATAGTTGAGGCACTATGCTACAGGCCAGAAGGTTGTGGGTTCAATTCCCAGTGAGTTCATTGGATTTTTCACTTGACCTAATCCTTCCAGCCGCACTATGGCCTGGTGTTCAACTCAGCCTCTAACAAAAATGAGTACCAGGGATCTTCTGGCGATAAGGGCGGCTGGCACATAAAGCTGACCTCAATGCCATGTGAGCTGATTGTCTAGAAAATGTGAGAACCTTGACATCTCACAACCCTGTGGGCCTCCATGGCTTGTTACAGGAAGAGCTGGAGAGAGGAAATGGAGTACTTGCTCCAGGCATTCTGTTACATTAATCTTGTATTGTTTCCATGTCATCTTTGTCACTTCCACGATTGTGGTGGTGGTGATAGCAGTCAATTTCTCAGTTAAGGGAATCATCAGAAGATAACTTTTATCACATCACATTATCATAAGGGGTATAAACTGTTAAAATCTCTTGCAGCATACTGGAATGGCTGTATCAGTACTCACTGTAACAGTGGCACAAGAGTGTTTTGTTTAGCAAGTAGGGCAATAATAATACCAGAAAGGAATGCGGTATTGTTAAAAGAAATGTGATGGATGGTAAACTTATAAATTGATTCTACTGTCACTGCTTAGATGAAATGTAACTACACAGACCCAGTGTGAGGAAACAAATTGGGGTGGTGTCTATTGAAATAACCCATATGATCATACACTTTACACTTAAAGCTGGAAACTGGATGCAGACGTAACATACCTTGAATCAAATTACCCTGATTATAAGATCTAAAAGTTTGTGACAATGGTCTGTTGCTATAAGTATTATTTTTTTGGACATTATCCAACGTTTTGTCTATTTTCCATAAAACCATCCTGTTTCTTTTTTAAAAACACAACGTTTCAGAGACTGGATTCTGTCCCCATCCTCATGTAAAACTTACTCAGTTGGGTCCAATAGATAGACCTAGCCCCTATCTCCAGTCCGGAGATACCCCCTCAGGAAGATTCCTGGTACTCATTTCTGTTAGAGGCTGAGTCAACTCCAGGGCCAATAGTGAGGCTGGAAGGATTAGGTAAATTGAAAAAATCAACCTCATCAGTAATCGAACCCGCGACCTTCTGGCTTGTAGCATAGTGCCTCAACCAACTATGCTTCCGTGTGCCCCCTTTAACGTTCTTCATACAATTACAAAAATGTGTCAATCAACAGTATAGGTAAATATATGAAAACATACGAGAATAAAATGTTTATCATGCTGAAAAGATGAAATTTTCAGGCATCTTTGTTGAAATACTTTTTTTAGTTCAAAGACCACAGAAAGTGGAAATTCACAACATAACTGAGAATATGGTCAAAGTTCAGTTTTGTTTTTAAGTTTGTAAACCAGATGGAAATGATTTCATCTCTCCTGGCCCCCTGACTTGTAATGGAATTAGCTGTTTGTTATTAGACACTTCAGAAAATCGGAAGGAGTTAGGACTTAAGAGAACAAATCGCTTTCTGTTCTTTTCTGATGGTATTAATTTACTGAGCAAAAGCACATATACCATAGAGAACACAAAGAGCTTTATTATGTACTGCCGTGAACTTCCTCTTATCCAGCTTGTATGGGAAATGGAGTGTGCCAGTTGTATGGATTACAGAAACCCGATATATAGTCAGAACAACATATTTTCACTTTAATTCTTGCATTGGAGTCTTCCTAAGCAACGCATTGGATTGATGGCTAGAAGGATTCAGAAATTTGCACTGTAATATGATCACAGATTTGGCTAGTGTCTTTTGTAATGGCACCTGTTTGGTGGGGGAGGATGAGTGGCCCTGCCGATGGTGGTTGGGAGAACTGCCATATGGCAGGTGAACATATATGCACCACAGATTTGTTTTTTATAACTAGTTCCTGCTGCTGCCCACACCCCAACATAAAGAGAATTCAGGATGCCTGGATACCAGATACTTTAGTAAAGAGGTTTGACAGGATGTGAATGCAGAGAAAATGAAGTATATGTTTGTATATGTAGAATGCAAGACAATCGTATTATAAACATTGCTAATGAACCCTTAAAAAATGTGGCAGTGTTCAGATATTTTGGAATGATAGTAATGAATAAAAATAACATTCAAAAGTAAGTTTGTAGCACCTGAAATGTGAAGAGTGTTTATCGTTCAGTTCAAAATCTTTATTTAAGAACATAAGGATTAAAATGTACAGAACTACAATTTTGCCTGTTTTGTATAGGCGTGAAACTTGTTCACTTGCAGTAAGCAATGAACATGGTTTTAAGAGTTTTAAGAGCAGGACACCATGAAAAATATTTGGACCTAATCAGAGAAAGTTGCATGAGACTGGAGAAAATTGCATAATCTCAAGCTTCATAATGAGCTGTTTACCAAATATTAGCGCGATTAAATCAAGGAAGATGAAGTGTGTGTAGAGTTGCAGTATGAATGGGAAGGAAGAGAGATGATTGTACAATTTTGGCTGGAAAAACTTGAAGGAACAAGACTGCTTCGGAGGCCAAGACATAAGTGGGAAAGTAATCTTAAAATAAATCTTAAAGAAGGAAGGTATGAGAGTATGGACTGGACTTTTCTGGTTAAGTGTAAACCTCGTTAATGGTTTCTTGGGAACATGGTAATGAACTATTTCTTTCCATAAAAGGTAGGGAATATATCGACCCGCTGAACTACTGCCAGCTTCTCAAGAAGGACTTTGTTCCATGAAGTTTAGCACTTTCTAGCGCCTTCCACACATGCACACACTAAGCTTTATAGCTAGTATGCCCACAGCTATTCCTTGGGCTGTTTGGACTTACTTTCTGTGTTATTTCCTGCAACTCCATAACATCAGTAATACAAAAGAACACAACGGCGATTGAAGCATACACAGTTGCGAAGAATGTGTATGGGAAATATGTGTGTTCCAGACTGGTGTACACCTTTTCACTTTTGTTGTGTCTCTTCTGCCAGGTACCAAGGAATTATATTAAAGATTCTAATTTTTAAAATTTACATCGTTCTCTGTTGGCCTTGTGAGAAAAGATTGTTACATTGAATTAAAACTGAATCTTATCACTGTATGCACTTTTTCAGAAGGAATTGGCATCAGTTTGTTAATGCATTACCTCTGCAGATTGGCAGGCAGTCAGATCACCAGAGAGCAAAACGTCGCCTGCTGATTAATGGGGCTACACCTCAAAAAGGAGATGAAGCCCTTGCCATGGCAGCAGAAGCACTTGAGAAGGAAAAGCTGCAGAAAAGGAATCGTTACGAGACCAGTGATTACTCGAGTGAGGAAAGAGAAGGCATTGCCTACCAGATCTACAAGAAAGCTGGAGATTGGTGGAAGTGCGTATTTCTGCATGCTGAAGATGAAACTTTTGTTTTGCATTTCACATTTCAAAGGGCGCTTTAGCTTTTATTAGCTTATGAAGCAGTCATGAATGGTGATTTAACATTTCACTTCAATAAATAAATGTTGTTATAAAAAATGCTTGCTCTTAATTGGGACATAAACTATATAGGGATGATTATGAATGCATGAATTATGAAACACTGTATACAGACCAAGTTTTGTGGTGTAATAATTCTACATCTTACAGTTTTCATGACCACTTCAGTATTGAAGTTACATAGCTAATGGATAATGCTGCATGTGAAACATTTTCTCTTTTAACTGTTCTAAGGCTGCTTGCTTCAACATTTTCCAACATTTAAATATATTTTGCATGTAGGATTTGAAGTTGCCACAGTGGTGGTTATGAAGAGTTATGTCTTCTGAGATATAATGCTTTGTAGTCCTTTGAAAGTATACCATTGTTTTGGAGGAACGTGTCACATCCATCTTCAGGGTTGAAGAGTAAGCCAAGCAAGACACCAGCATGAGATAGCCTGCAGGCTTACTCTTCTTCAATCCAGAAGATGGAGGTGACATCTGAAATGTCAGTTGAATTTCAGCATTCTGTGTGGCATAATATCCCAGAACTCTTCATATTTTGCATGCTTTGCTTGTGTGAACATGGGGTCACAGTGAAATTTAGGTTCGTTATTTTCAAATGATCAAAGACTGACTCAAAGATTGTAACATATAAATTTTCATGACTGAATATACAATTTTATGTTACTTTCATATCAAGGAATAAAGTGATATAAATAATATAGCAGTTAAATTTTTGTCAGAAGTAAAAAATGTTAACATTGGGAGATTTGATGGTCACAGTGGTGACTGTGAAGCATGCTGAGTTGTGATGCTGTATAGCTTGCTGCTTGCTTGATTGCTTGCTTGCTTGCTTGCTTGACTACTTCTCAGTTTATGAGATAGAGTCAGTATCTTCCTGTGAAATACTGGTGCCATGCTGTACAGTGTCACATTCCAATAGAAGTCCACATGATTTTTAATAATATGTTTTGGATTTTCATATTAGTTTACTGTCATAATATACTTTTTTTTTTATGTTTCAAGTCCTTAATGTGTAATTTCAGCTATCAGGATCTACCACTTCATCAGAGAGATTGAGTATGTGATAAAGAAGATTGCAAGGAAGTTTCCTTGGCACAGGTCATGAATTATTTTGTTGCAGCAGCCTGTTGCACTGTGTAGATCTGACTTTGTGTTCCACTTCTTGTCATCTATATGCAACTTTGGTTAATATTAATATTAATATTGTTGCACATGGATGGCAAGAAGTGGGACACAAAAGCAGAAGAATTATTTTCTTAAGAGATCTTTGGAAAATAATGTATGAAGTTCAGTCAAACATAAAGTACAGATGAACCATTATTAAAATAGCTTACTAAGTAAACTCTGTTACAACCAGCATGAATTCTATGGAAGTACCCATCCCTTAAGAAGCTCATGAGAGATGACTTGTTTTTAGTAAGATCAGATCAATGAAGATTCTGCTTTGTATGTTATCAGTTGTGTTATTTTTACCCTTCATTAGTGATTGGCTTAATTAATTAATAATTTTAATGCTATTGAATAGTAGAATAGATGATTAATAAAATAATTTTCTTCTATATTACATAATTCTTGGCCAGAAATACTTTGTTTGATGCAAATAGCATAATGATGTATGCAGTTTGAAATTTTTGTCAATGATTATATAATTCAGTAGTGCAGTAGTGTGCAGTATATCTGTTTGCCAAGTAATGAGTGTTGTCAGAGATATTCTTTACATATTGCTAATTATGCTTTCTCTGCTTCTGTGGCTTGCTTTGTCATATGCCTCAAAATACAGTCATACTTGTAAGTACAGGGAAGTTCTTACCTTTGTTGACCAGTTAATGGTTCTGTGCTTCACGGTGATGGGTGCACTGCCAGCTGTGAGGTGAATATGAGTTTTGCCAATGAATCAGTATGCCCATTGGTCGATAACGGTTGGAATTAAGGGAAGTTAAGTAACTGTATGGACCACCTGAGGGCATTATGTGTCATCTGTGGGAATTTGTTTACGATTTGTCAGCAATGGGTAGCAGTTATCATCTCCATTAGCCGTTAGTGAACAGTGTGTTCTGTCATGATGCGGTATACTTCAGAACAACTTGTATTTCTGTATGAGACCTATGTGAAACACAGATCTGCTATAAAGTATTGGTGAAAATTTTGACGTGATGAAAGAGTTCCCAGCAGACAGACAATCTACCATTTGGTGAATAGACTTAGATGAATGGGACTCTTAATAAACAAGAAGCAAAAACATAAGCGCCAATTGCTTACTGAGGAAAAGTTAAATGGCATAGGAGCCAGCTATCAGGGTTCATTTTTGCAGTTGGTTTCTACAATCATGAAAGGTGAGATCAGTCCGCAGTTGACAATTTTTTTTTTCTGAAGAAGCGTGGTTGCACTTGCAGGGATACATAAATACACAAAATAATCGCTACTAGACTTCAAAGAATCCACATATAACCCACAAAGTCCTGCTCCATCCAGTGAATGTTGGTGTTTCTGGAGTGCTGTAAGTGCAAGGTTTGTTTGACCTGTGTTTTTAATGAAACAGTTGTAAAAAATATGTACAAGTCATTCTTGGGCAATTCCTTCCAGAGTTAACAGAAGAAGAAAGACTCTATCTCTGGTTTCAGCAAGACTCAGCTACTGCCCGCAGTGCACGTATGTCTATGCAGGCTTTGTCCGGTGTCTTCGGTACAGAATTATAAGCAGCGTTATTTGGCCAGCACGTTTACCCGATTTTATTCCTTGTGATTTTTTCTTCTGGGGTTGTTTGAAAGACAAAGTTTACAGCAGTAATCCCCTGAATGGAAGTACTAAAAGAAGGCATTCATAGGAGAATTGCAAATATTCCTGCAGAACAGCTTCATAGGGTAAATCAGAACCTCGTCCACCGGTGTGAGGCATGTCTAGATGTAGAGGGACAGGATTTTCAACACCCCTTTTGATATGTGAATTGTAACTACTTCATTCTGAATCTTATCAGCCAACAGGCATATTGATTTGTATGTGCCTCACAGCTGGCGGCATACCAGTTGCCATGAACCAGTCAGCAGAGGAAAGAACTTCTTACATGTAGTTAGCATATGCAGTGCTTTATTTTGTGATGGCAAGTTGTCTAATGTTGATCTTATGTGCTTAGCATGGTGACATTTATGATTTCAGAATAAATCATGTTGATGTGTCAACCCCCCCTCCCCCACATAGGACCAGATATTCTAATTTTTTATTGTTGCGGCAGTATAGTTCATTGTATGTTCATAAGGTTATAATTAGGTTGTATGAGTGTCTGCATTTTAAAATATTTTATAGTGTAGGAACCATTTCCTGTATAATTCTGTATATTGTATAATATTCATGGTTGATTATATACAGAGTTTGTACATGAAGCCTGTTAGCGGGTAGTCCACTTGAACACAATTTTAGAAACAAGACCTGAAGAATAATATTCTGTATTCTGTAATGTTCAGCATGGGTATTAATAGAAACAGCAATGTAACCATGCACCAGTTTGTTGCTGAACTAACAGGATTGGTATATAAGTGGTCTTTAACAGGGAACCCATAGTTCTTCCTATTGCTTGTGTAACATAGTTGTTCTGTCTTCTTTGTGTGTTTTTTATTGCTGTCTCTTGTTTTACTATGCAAAGTACAGTAACTTTGTACCTTACCATATGAAACCTTAAACCCATTTTTCCCTTCAGCTTGCAATATATGAGTTCTTTCATCTACATAGGAGATATAAATACTTCTCTCAAAATATTCACTGTTTTGTTTATGAAGGGAAAATGAGTTGCATGTTTCCGTCCAGATGGACACCAAAGTATATTTCCAGTGTTTTATAATTTGAGTCATGCACAGTTTCATGAACCCAGCCTATTTTCCTTATCTCCTTAACCACACATTACAGACCTGCCCTGCTGCACTATACATGGAGGTTTGTTGTGGACATCCTCAAACTTATATTGGATCCTACTCGTTGGTCACTCCCATTCTTGATACCTGAATCAGGACATCCTAAGGAGACGTTTGGGTAATACCTTAAAATGTGCTTGCTTTGTCATATTAAAAATAAGGTAATCAGTTTGATGATTTTTGTCCAGTTGAATTCATTTGATTTTGATATATTTTAAGAATAGTGTGAGCTTAGCATGATGTTATCCAATTTCTTCTTTCTTTTGCAAGTTGTTTATTAACATTTTCATATAGCATTGGACATTTCCATAGGATATAGTGTTTCTTCATTCCAACTTAGTTTAAGAAGTGGCAAGTGCTGTTGCACCAAAGGAAGTAGTTGTGCTTATGTAAGTTCAGACCGCAACATAGCTCAAGTGGTTAGTCTCTGGCTTCCTACGGCGGCGGCTCGGGTTCGATCCCGGGTCTGGTCAAGTGGGATTTGTGGTGGACATAGTGGCGCTGGGGCGGGTTTTCTCCAAATACTTCGGTTTCCGCTGCCAATCTTCATTCCACCAAATTCTCCATCATAATCACCTGGGGCAGGTACAAAAGGCCAATCAGTGGTCGCCGTGCTGAGTGGACCCAGCTGGACTTCACCCCCTACTAGGCGAATTAAAAAATATATGTAAGTTCAGAGACAATTGCGGTAATTTTTTGTATGAATTTTAACTGTATTCGGTTGGATTGACATGGAATTTTTGCTGTGGAAAAAATAGTTTTTAGATCTTCTGGAAGGTAAGTGATATAACAACATTAATACTTGTAATACAGTTCAGTTATGTACTGCTTCGTACCTGTTTTGTGATGTTCTTCAAAAATATGTGGCTCCAGATCTGAATTTTCTGTTAACTGTGTTAGTGTTTTGTGAAAGAGGAAGTGCATGCAGGGATAGGTTTGTAGATTGATTACGCATCAAAAATGTGTAAATATGCTTTCTGAATAAT